AGAATCAGGTTTATTGCCAAGTTTTTCACACACGAGGAATTTGCTTTGGCACGTTGGTGCATAAGAATCAGAATCAAGCGTAGAAAAATATGAATAAAAACTGTATATAAATATAAAGAGAGAGAGAATATGTACAAAATGACCGGATACCTAAATAAATAAGTAAAGAGCTGTACAGAAATGTGCAAAAAAAAGTTACTAATGTGACAGAATGATAAAAAAAGATAAAAAAAACACCAGATAGCAGATTCTTGCGATAATATAGTGATTAATTGTGCAGCCCGACTCTAAATGCACAGATGAGCTGCACATTCGTGGCGAGCATCAGCAGCAACTATTTTAATGCAGTTATGTAAATATGCTTTCCTACTGCACGCTGCCTACAAAGCAGAGTTGCGTAAATCATTTTTCCCTCCAGGCTTTATTCATTTTGCATGAGAGTGTTGGATAAATGCAAATCTTAATGAATAATTCTTTTTTTCTTCATCCGTTTCCTCGCTCTTCTGTTGCTTCTTTAACTTAAGTTCTTGTTTTTCAGGGCGTACAACCCCAGAGGACTCTTAGAAGTCCGCCAGGCTCTCGAAAATGTGAATAAAGTAGAAGATCTGCTTCCTATAATGAAGGTAAGGACGTAAAAAGAGGAAGTCGGTTGAAAAGAGACACAAACACGATGCACGTCTTAATAACTGAGTTGAAAATAGATTTTTTTTTCTCACGTTTAATTGACATTTTGTCAAGTCACTCCGCTCAAGGTCCGCTTTCTTATTGGTTTCTGATGGTATCAGTCACTATCAGTCAGCCCTTATCAGCAGAGTTCAGTAAGTGGACCTTGAGTTGAGATTGTTTTGTGCTGCTTGATAAAAAAAATGATCTCAGTGTTTAGTTGGTTTATGATGTGAAATGTTTTTTGGTTGTTTTACGTCGTTCAGCAGTGAAAACCCAGGATGTTTGTTTCTGTGTTTGTTTGTTTGTTTGTTTGTTTGTTTGTTTGTTTGTTTGTTTCCTGAAGCAGTTCAACAGTAAAACCAGAGATGGCTTCACGGTCAACTCCAAGGTGCCCAGCCTGAAGGATCTTGGGAAAGAGTACGACGGTTTTACCATCACCATCACTGGAGACAGGTACGGTCAGGGTTGGGCTAGTTACTCAACAAAATGTAATCTATTACTCGTTACTGTTTTCAAAATTAATATTATTATTTACCTCATTGCTCCGTGCCAACAGTAATTAGTTACACTACTAGTTTTTATTACTTTTCTGCTGTAATTGTTCCCCTTTCTCCCCAAAATTCAGACTTGTGAAGATTAAAATCCAGTTTTGTTTGTTAAAATCAAAGTAATGTGAATATTTCCAGCCACATTTCCGTCTTTCATCAAACTAGTTTCTTCCACGATTACAAAAATGGATCCAATGATGTGATTGGATCGTTGGATTTCAGATTAGTAGGAGGTGTAATGTTGGGACTGAAATGTATTAGCAGTTAGTTACACTACTAGTTACTGGGAAAAGTAATATAATCACTGTAATACTATTACTAGTAACAAGTTACTTTTGCTTTTTTTCGGCAGGATAGTTGAACTAACTTGTGAAAATGTACATATTTAAACATTATGAATAAGAACATTAGAGATGTTAAGAAGTCAGTTTGTCAACAAAATGAGATTGAAGATAAATTATTACGACTGAAAGATTCAAAATATATCTTCTCTTACATTTAATTTATTAAAACGATGCATATTTCCTTTTCTTTGTAAAAGTGAAACCGATGTCTTTGAGCCTCGATACAGCCGCTGACACGAGTGACATTAGATATCGCCCTCTGCTGTTTGATGATTATTTTTCACATCTTTGTATTGTGATTGAACTGTCTCATGATATATTATTACATTCACAAAGAAGATCATTTTGTTCCTAGTGGGTACAAAGTTACAGGACAGGTAACTGTTGGCAGGTACAATGATTATTTATTTTATAATTCACTATGAGAGCAGGCTGTTTCCTGGTGTCACTTCCAGTTTGTTTGCACTACGATGGCAGAAGGAGATTAAAGCGATCACTGATTCCCACTTCTGAACTGTTCTCTGTGTTTTCAGGGTGGGCAACATGTTATTCTCAGTAGAGACTCAGACGACAGAAGAGCGGACGCAGCAGTACCAGTCAGAGATAGAGTCCATCTACAAAGACCTCACCGCCAAAGGAAAGACGTTAATGCTGTCCACCGAGCTCGGGGTGAGACTGTTCTCTGCAGTTCACTGGAAGCTTTTCTTATTTGGCACAGCTTCTGCGTCCCACACGTAATAAAAAGCAGGAGCGTGTTCAAAACAAGGATTTATGAGATGAAATGAAGCATTAAATGTATGATTTATATTAGTAGTAGAGTCACAAAAGGTTCCCTCTAACCTTCTGCAAGTAAAATGTGACCGATGGTTGTAGAGCCGACAGAGTTAGTAGATTCATTGATTTGTCAATTGATAGACATTTATGAGTTTATTTCATTTATAAAGCAAAAAATAACCAATGTTCTTCTCAAATATGAGAACATTTGTGGCTTTTCTTTGTTTTATATAACTGTAAATTGACTATCTTTGGGTTTTGGGTTGTTAGTTAGAGAAAGCATTTGTAGATGTCGCCTCGGGCCAGGATTCAGTATATTATGACATTTTATAAACAATATATAGATAACATAATCATTAGTTGCAGCCCGTGTTGGTCCTTTTATATTATTTTGCTGGGGTTTTTTGTCATTGCAGGAGATTCAGAGGAAAAATGACACGAAACATAAAAAAAAAAACCCCAGAAAAAAAAGAGAACTGAGCTCAGCAGGCGACAGTTTTATCTCGAGTCGTCAGCCAACACATCTCCCCTCTCTCTCCCTCTGCAGGACTATCACAGATTCACGTTGTATAGACGGGCAGACGAGGAAGAACATTAAATCTCAGGAGAATATCCCAATACTTAAACTAATGGATCATTTTACAGCAGCTGGTTGCTGTTTGTGGCTTTCACACTAACTGGATTTAGACTGATAGCTGTCACAGCACCCAACAATGCCCCTGTTGTTGAAAGGTTATTGACTGTGATCTGAAACAGACGATGTGAATAAACCTCTTTTGCCTGCTGCAGTTTTCCGTCTGCAGCCCTCTCGGATTCCACCGCGTCTTTATGAACCGAGAACGGCAGACAACGCCCGGTGAAGCCAGTTAGAAATGGATGAGAGTTGACTCTGTGATCACCTTTGTTCTTCCAGGATGCAGACGCCGTGTGTAACCTGATCCTCTCCTTGGTTTATTACTTCTGCAACCTCATGCCGCTCTCCAGAGGGTCCAGGTGAGTCGGAACAGCCCGCAGGCCGTAACGCTTTGTGGTGAAAGGGAATTTGCTGGGACAGGTCGATTTGTGGTTTCAGCTTTGTTGTTTGGAGTCAGATACCCCTTTGGCAAGAAATGTTAGAAACTCCTTAAAGACTGGTTTCTGAAGAGGAAACAAAGACTCGCACTCTAAATTCTCTGGATTCATTTATGTTTAAAAAACAGCCTGTTGAGCGGTCCAAGTTTTACCTGTAATCAGGTGTTGAACTGGGACTTTTTTATGTTTTAGGTTGGCTGTTTTTAATTATAAGCTCTGGACAATGTCCTGATAATCAGACGATAGTTATGAATATGATAAACCAGGTTTCCAAATGACCACAAACCACAAAACTAACTGTAATAGAAGCAGAGAAGGGAGACGGAGACGGAAAATAGAGCATGAAAATGGATCATTCTTCATAGTTTAGAGCAATATTTACAGGCCGGTATCCGATCCAATCATGTAGGCTGATATTGATTGGCTGTATGAAAACGAAACAAAGAACGCAGGTACATAACATCATCAATAAGCCCACCAGCCTGCTGTGAATCATTGTAGTATCATGATATTAGTGTGTAAAGAGTGTTTTCCTGATCTGCTCCTCCTCAGTGTGGTGGCCTACTCCGTCGTTATGGGGGCACTGATGGCCAGCGGGAAAGAGGTCATCGGTAGGATCCCGAAAGGAAAGGTGAACATAAAGAACACGTAGATGTGTGACGCCTGAATGAGCTCCCGTAAGTCACTGTTGGGTAAAACAGGTGGGTGTCACATTTAGGACGAACTACAGAATATTCTGCCGTTCGTGGACGCTGAAGAATAAAGACTTCTCCTTCGTTATAAGTTCCCTTTCAAAGCAAACATCAATTGGAATTTGGGAATGTCCTACTCTTATTTCCAGCCATGTTTATCTGTATCTCAAAGGTTTCATTCATTCCTTAAAGTCATTAATCAGCAGACGTTCTTCAGTCGACACACAGACGTTATGAGGACAGTTAACAAACCTCAGCTGAACCTTTCACAGACTTCACTTCTCTAACACCTGATCAGGTTTCTGCGCTGCCTCGTTCCCCTCCGACGTGTCTTTGTTCCAACAACAATATGTCTGAGAATCTCACACGAGTATTTTGTATTTTTTGGGGGGTTTTAGTTGCTCAGACACACTATAACTTCCCTTTTTTCATTTTCGCTGTGCTATCGAGTGATGGCTTTTAGTCATTCAGACACAGTAGATGTCTCTGAAGGGAAGGCTGCTCGTTCAGACAGGAAGAGCCATGTTGCTCGTGTGATATCTGTGAGAGGAAGTGATTGTTAAAGGAGGAAAATGTTCTAATTATTACTGCGGTTGCACAACTGATTTTACTTCTGCTTTGTACCTTTTTTAAAGGAAACCTTAGAGACTTCTCTTTCGGGGCATACTTTACCTTGTGATGCAGCTGTGGACTCACTAACTACAGCGTTAGAAGGTCCAGTGTGAAGGATTTAGACCTCTATCTAGAGCCAGTGTTTGGACTCACATGAGTTCCTGATTTTAATTTTTGTTCTGTATATCTTTTAATCTGGAAATCGCTTTGTGCTTAAGCTTGAAAAGTGCTTTATAAATGTATAAAATATAAAATTATTACTATATTTACAACGTTGACTCCTCCAAATCCAGTAAGCGACCATCAGACAGTGTTTTGGACTTGAAATAGGCCATAAATGGGCCTTAAAGGACCTCTCCATGTAGGCTTTCTCCCCCCTTTCTTCAGCTGTCCGATCAAATAAAGGCATAAAAAGACACAAAAAATATATCTTAAATAAAAAAAGGGGCCTTAAAAAGTCTTAAATTTAACTTCTTGGTTTCCATAAGCACAATGTTCAGGTGTTCAGAAAGAAATAAACCTTTCTAAAGTATTTGTGTTAAATATTTCCCCAGCTGGTGGATTTTGAAGCCATGACCACACCCAGTCCAGACAGCTTCAGTAAAACAGCAAAGACCTGGATGAATCTCAAAAGGTAGGAAGACATGAACATTTGTGAACTTTGTTTGTTGTTCCGTCTCCTCGTCTCCTCGTTCCCTTGTTTTTAATACTTTCACTCCTCCACAGTTTGCCAGGTTGGTACCAGAGTCTTCCATCTGTAGCAGAGACCTTCCCGTCCACCAGAACGATGATAGAGGTTCTCAACACAGACTCGTCTTCACACTGTCCGAAGAAGTCCTAACACGACTTCTACGCAGGAGAGAAGTCGGTTTAATAAAGTCTTAATAATGAAGCTTCTACACTGGGCAGAACAAAGGGACTTTCTTCTTCTTCTGCAACCCAAACAAAAACTGGATTCAGTTCTCCAAAAGCATCTTCGCTTTTTAATGGCAGTTAATTAAATTTAAAGACGGGAAATCAAAGTGTGAATTGACACGTTTGGGAAGCAGGTTGTGTCTCTTCTGGAGGTGATATTACAAATTCAACATATTACTCCAGAAGAGACTTTTTCTTTATGAAGTGGTGACATTATTTGGTTTGTGGAAAACTTCATTAATAATTAATCTTATTTCAGTATCAGATCCCCCCCCCTCCCTTCAGATCCTGCTCTGTTCTCTGTCATCCTCCCTCACACGACTCTCAACCAGAGTCAACGAGTTCTTACTCCACTCACGCTGGACGCCTTTAACTTTGTACGCCAGCGTTGACACAAACATTTACTAATATTAATATTAAAAACGCTGCTTTAGCACCAAAAAGAGAAACGGTCAAAGTTATTTGTGTTAATTGGACAATGTCGCCAGTTTAACAACCATTTATGTTAACTGGTTCCAGTTCAAGTTCAAAATGATGTAATGATATGTAGACCTTTTTCACAGCAGCCACTTTTGACACAAAATAGTCGGGTAAACACCAGGGTTTCCACGCGTCCTGGAAACATCTGGAAATTGATTAAAAAGGACCAAATATCCTGTAAATAATTAAACATTTTAATTGCATTTTAGCCCCTCTCGTATTTAGTTTGAAACGCGACTGTTGGCAGGAAAACTTACGACGTGGATTCGCAACGTTAACTGAACATGAAACCTTTTATATCTTTATTTAATTGGCCAAAAGGTGAGACGATGAATTTTATGTAAAATAAATTCTACTTAATTTGAACTGTTATTTATAGGAAGATGAAAACTAATCACATTTAGTCCGTTTACTGGAGAGTACGCAGCAGAGTGTCTCACAGACGCTGACTGCCTACCTGTAACGAACCTGAGATTTTAAACAAGAAGGAATAAAACTGCAGTTAAATGTGTCCTCTAACACCTCTGTTTACCCTCTTACTTCACATCAAAGTGGCTGCTGTGAAAAAGGCTTAAAGAATCTTTAATTCAGGCCGAAGACATTCAGAAACTCTGGAGCTTGAGACGACGCTGCCTTTTAATTCGCCCCAATATTTTCCCAAACTACAGCTGCTTGGGGGAAGATGACGGAGAACATTAGAGCCACAGTTTGGGATGCAGAAGTGATTCTCTCTCTCTCTCTCTCT